GTGCTGAGGTGAAAATGGAAAATGTGGTGACTGGAAACAAGAAGTTCTTCACACAACCCCAACAAAGGCTACCACAAAGCCACCTGAATCTTTTTGTAACTGTCTGAGTCACTCCGCAAACCCGCCACAAATTATTTTAATTCTAGACCAGCTTCCCCAAGCTACCCAGCTATCCACTCCATTTCCCTTTTATCAGTGGAAGGAATACACAGTCTAGAAAAAATTTGGGGGAAACACATATCACTTCAACAAATATTTCTGAATGGCTCCAGTATTCCGGCCCTGTTTTGGACACTGGGGATACAGCTATGAACGACACAAACATCTTTCATGGAGTTTACATTCTAGGGGCTAGAGGCTGACAAAAATAAAGCAGGCTTTTTAGATTCTTCTTCACACCTTTTAAACATACTCCAGCTTGTCACGATCTTTCTTAAAATGTGGCATCCCAAAATGGAGTGAAAACTCCATCCAAGTATTCTAAAATGGAGCCTGGCTTTCCAGATCATAATGAAATTATAATTTTGACATTTATATTGACCTTCATCAAGGTAGGAGGACCAAATTGTGTTTTACATGTGTTGGCTTGATTCCTAACTCTTAACTATTTAGGCCCATGGGATATGAGCCTCCACTTGTACTCTGGTCTCAGGCCCCACCAGTATTAAGGGTCTGCATGTTGATGGGAGAGTGCTGCTCCCCGCAGAATTTGTTACTCATGGCATCAAAATCTGTAGGTTTAAATCCAATTTTACCCAAACAAATTAGCAAATTAGTGTAACTTTTGTTAGGTACTTTCTGTTGCAAAAAACAGAGATTCATGAAGATTAGCAGAAGCAAGGGAGCATTTAGTATAAGAATTTACATGGCATATGAGAGTATTCCTGGGACTCCAAGAACAGACATTACAGTGCACCTTGGCCTCTCAGAGAGGCAAAGTGGATGCAAGGCGGCACCAGGGACCTCAGCAGGAGGGATCGGCAGCTGGTGCCCTGGCACTAACATGACAACAAGCCACTGCTTCTCTGGATGCATTTTTTTCCTGCCATTCTTACTTGGATTCCTCCAAACCGTATCTTCTCTCTGCCTCATAGCTGCTTCTTATTTGTCATCTGTCTGTTTGCAGGGGGTCTTCGTCCCCTCCAACGGAGAGTGTTTTCAGCATTTCCTCAGGCTGCCGCCTGCCTGATTTGCTCTGTATTTCTCAATTCAACATTTCAAGGACAAGAATCGAACTGGATCTCCTTGCACCTTTTGAGGAATACTGTTCATGTCGGGCCGATTCGTAGCCAGGTTCCTGGTCCGATTAATACATTTGGTAGGAGCATGGCTGATGACTTGGCTGTGCTTTGGTTCGGTGCACAGCCCTATCCCATCAGCATTCGCCAGAGGGGACCACACAGTAGAAAACGCGGCTGTGAGGGCTGGCTTGGTGGCAGGGCCTGTGGAAGAGGCAGTTTCCTGAGAGGTGGCTGTGGGCACAGCAGACACCACGACTGTCCAGCACAGTAGTTGTGGTGAGCCGTGCCAGCCTCCCTGTCATATTTCCTACATATTCTTCAAGAAAACAGTTCATTTCCTGATTAACCACAATATACCACCATGGCATCTCTATTAGTGGAACACTAACCACCAATATATATTTCTTCCGTTCTGTGGCAGGTGTAAGGATTATTACATTTTCTATCATCAGTGGTTCTTCCTCATTTTTCTGAGGTGCACAGGATAATGCTTCTCCCTTAAAATGTACATAATTCACTCTATTTGGGGTCTGTGCCCCACTCAGTGGGGGTGGGCAGGAAAGATCTGGATAAGGCATAAGCAGTATGTGAGGTTGGGGTCCTAGGATTCAGAGCTGGACTTGCCAGGGGGTAGATTTATGAATCTGAACCAAGGTCTTTGCAAAATGCCAAGGAAAAAGACTGAGAGAGCCAAGTCCAGAGGACACAAAACAAGGTCAAAAAACAGGAGACAATGCGAGGATCAGGAATTGGCAAGAGTGGAACAGATGGAGGGTGACGTGAGAACTGCTGAGACAGAGGCCCAGGTGTCTGCGTTTGCTTTTATGAACTTGCCAGGTGGTGCGTGCTGGATGTTGCAGAAGAGCCTGTTTCTTTTCCTTCTCCCTTTAGTCCTGGGCACGTTCTTTTGTCCCAGTCTCTGGGAGTCATTCCAACTCTCCTCCAGCACCTTGGAACCTTTGACTTTCTGCTGGGATTATTTCCTCCTGCCTGTCTCAGAACGCTCCAATCTTTTTAATAACCCGGAGTTCAGTGTGACTTGCTCAAGCCCTTTAACCAGCTTGCTTTAAAGAACACAGTCTGGAAGATGAATTCCACACCTGCCTTACAGGTCACGCCGAAACCCCAGTGTGTGTGAGATCGAGAACCGCAAGCTTTGTGTCTTCCCCAAGGAAACTCTGCTCCTGTATTACCCATTCTTGGCAAGAGATGCTTTATACCAGGGGTCCTCAAACTTTTTAAACAGGGGGCCAGTTCACTGTCCCTTAGACCGTTCGTTGGAGGGCCCTTGGAGAGTGCGGCGCACATTCCACGCATGCGCACTGTGGGCCCGGGACGAGTCGGCTGCTAAGCAGGACAGGCAGCAGCGGCAAAAACACCTCGAGGGTCGGATAAATGTCCTCAGCAGTCCACATGTGGCCCACGGGCCACAGTTTGAGGACCCCTGCTTTACACACTTCACATTGCAAACCCGGCCCTGCTAATCTACAAAGGAGAGCTAACGGTTACCAAGGTCACAAGTTATGACGTCTCTGCTATGCTCCCACATCATCTCACAGAGGCACACCTGATTCTTTCGGTGGGGTAATCCACACAATAACAAGCAATATTACCTTGTTCCCATACATGCACGTGTGTTGCACATTCCACACCTTTACTATGTCTGAAAAAGACAAACGCACAGCTTTATAGTCAAAGATGATGCCACTGATAATTCCAAAGAGAAAAATCTCTTGAAACGGCTCAGCTAACCCTAAGACCATTAAAATGTCACTGTTCCTAAGGACAACATTCTAAGATCAATCATCAGGTGCCCTACTCACAAAGGACCAAGTAAGTATGAACTCACATTTCCACCTGAAACAACTTTTCTTGTTACACACTCAGAGTATATCTGTGAAGTCACCAACCTAAGGGTGACTTCTAAGGGTAGAGCGTGTGTAAATGGGAAAAAAGGAATTCCTATTTAAAATGCATTTATAAGTCGTGGTCTAGGAAATCTAGAAATCTATTAGTGCTGTATCATGGAAGCATTGGAAACAAAATGAGTTTTGCAACTGGCATGGCCATCAGATTCTCAGTATTAGCTCCAAAGGTGCAATTTACAATCTTTGGGAACATATCTTACTCATAATTTGGGGACTGTCTCTAATTCTCTAATGTTTGTATCCTATCTCTTACAACTGTTTGTATAACTGAATGCAATTTTTATTGATAAATCATCAGTTATTAACTAAAACAAACTCTCACCTTTCAAAAGCAATATTTTCTCCCTGAGAAAATGTTTTTCCTGGCCAGGCTCAGTGGCTCACACCTATATTCCCAGCACTTTGGGAGGATGAAGTGGGAGGATAGCTTGAGGCCAGGAGTTTGAGACCAGCCTGGGCAACATAGCAAGACCTCATTTCCACAAAAAAAAGAAAAATTACCTGGGTGTGGTGGTGCACACCTGTAGTCCCAGCTACTTGGGAGGGAGAGGAAGATTATTTGAGCCCAGGAGTCTGAGGTTGCAGTGAGCTACAACCCTGGCAACAGAGCAAACAAGACCTTGTCTCAAAAAAAAAAAAAGAAAAAAAAAAGAAAAAAATGTTTTTCATACTGCTTTTGAGGTGCCAGTTATTTGGTACTAGTCCCACAGCCCTTAATTCTAAGATGTTTGCACTAGCAACTTATAAAGAACTAGTTACTTCACCTGAAATTTACACCTGTTCATTTACTCAATTGCAACGTTAAGCAGGCATTATCTTGGTCAAGGCTATACTTCAAGAAATATTTAACTGTTTACCAGTGGCCTTTAATGGGGGGAAACTGTTTATTGAACACACAGCCTTTGTGACACCTGGGAAAAATTTAAATTGCACAGAGAAAACCTTCATCACGATACCTTCATCATGGTTCCCACCGATTATAAAAGGGCAAGCAAAATCATTTCGGCCGTGAATTTATTGTGATATCTCCTCATTAACATAAACATGTAACAGGAGAATCACCTGGCCCTCTGACACTAGTATGTAGAGTGTTCTATAGTGGTTTAGAGCTTATGCCAACACAGGCCTTTCTCAAACAACCAAATAGTATTTTCCGAGTTTGCATAGTGGAGAAAATACGGTACTAAAAGACACGTTTACCTTTTTAATATGCAGCTCAATTGTTTTTCTTATTCATCAACAGTAACTTCATCTAATGTGCCATTAGAGGAGTTGCAAGTGGAACTAAACTGCTGCCCATCACAAAATCCTTTTTCTCCTAAACTCTGTAAGTCTGTGTACATCTAACTAAAATAATGAGCTACTTGTAAAGAGAGTGCACACAGCAACAGTATACATTTGAGTTGCTTTCCCCACGTCTGTTACCTTATTTAAGAGCAAAGGGTTTGAGAATCAGAATTGAGTTCAAATTCTGACTGTCACAGTGAATATGACCTTGGGGTAGTCACTTAAACTCTCTGGATCTTAGTTTTCTAACCTGTAAAATGGGATTAATAATAAAAATGACCTCACTGGGTAGTAAGGATTAAATGGCTAATATTTGCAAATTTCTCAGCACAGACAGTATACATTCAATATATGGTGGATTTAATAATTATTCTTTAATAATTCCAGGCCAGGCATGGTGGCTCAGGCCTGTAATCCCATCACTTTGGGAGGCCAAGGTGGAGGATCACTTGAGCCCAGGAATTTGAGACCAGTCTGGGTAACATGGCAAGACCCGCTCTCTACAAAAAAAATAAAATAAACTTAATAATTGCCCCAGCTTTGGTAAGTCTGCCAGGCAGTTCTAATTATCTCTGCCTGGAGAGATGAGTTTAAGTGACTTATCCAGGGTCAAACAATTCATTAGTGGCAACAACTGGGGATTCAGATTCCAGGCCCCAGGAACCCCACCCCCACACTGCATCACCCCCAGTCAACCTTATAGACTTTTATAGAATGGGACGCTGTGTCCAGCACAAGAAGAGAATTCTCCTTGGTGAAGGTCAGGGCCACAGGATGGGAAAGGCCATGAGTGACCATAGGCTTCAGTGCTGGAAACTCCTCAGGTTTCCCCAAGCAAAGGATAGCTGGGCCAGAGGTATCTGCAATAATCACATTCCCCTGGTGATCAAAGGTCACGGCAGAGACAGTTATTTTGGAGGGAAAGAAGAGGCTCAGCCCAAAAGTATCCACCTGGCCGATGAGCTGCATACTCGAGCTGAACACCTTCACCGTGGTGCCGCAGGCCCCAGTCCCCAGGGCCAGGGGGTGCTCTAGGACCGCAATGGCCCCGGTGAGCCAAGACACGGCCACGCCCCGGGGGTTGCACAGCTGCGCTTGCAGCCGCTCGGTTCTCCGAAGGACCCCTTCCGCGAAGTCCACTTCCAGGAGGTGCAGGGACCCTGCCTCGGCATCCGTCACCACGACCCCGTTCTGAGGGGTGGTCTCCACCGCCCAAGGTAAGGAGAACTCGCCTCCAACGACGAGCTTTATCTGGCCAAAAAAATCAAACACTTTGATGGAGCGGTCGCCGGCGTCAGTGACAACCACATGGCAGTCGTTGGTGACGGTGACGTCCAGTGGGTACTTAATGTCTTGGGCGGCGTCCCCCTTCTCGCCAAACTGATGCGCGCATCCTCCCCCGGAGTCGAAGATCTTGACCCGCCTCCTGCCGTCGTGCACCACCACGACCCGGCCTGTCTTGGGGCAGAGCGCCAGCCCGGTGGGGTTGACCAGCGTGCCCCAGCCGCCGAAGGCGTGGTGGCAGGTGAGGGCGCCGGGGGCGCAGGGGGCGGCGCGCGGGGCGGCCGGAGACGGGCGAAGCGCGGAGCCCAGGAGCTCCAGGAGGTGCAGCACCGGCAGGCAGTCGCTGGTGTCGCAGCCCCGGCAGGCCCGCCGGCAGAAGGGGCACTCGAGGGCCAGCGTCCGCGGGTGCGCCAGCGCGGCCACGCAGGCCAGGCAGACCACGTGGCCGCACGGCAGGTTGCGCGGGCGCCGCTGCTGGCGGTGGCCGAACCTCTCAAAGCACACCTTGCACTCGAGCAGGCTGGTCTCGGCCTCGCGCACCAGCTCCCGCAGCTCCGGCCCGCTCCCCGAGGCCTCGGCCCCCATGGCGTGGGACCCCGGACGCTCCCGGCCTGCAGGACGCTGCCCCAGCGCCGCCCTCGGTCGCGGTCACGGTCACGGTCACGGTCACGGGGCGGGGCGTGCGCCGGGGCGTCCAGCGCGCAGGGCCGCGGGACTGCGATCTGCTGCCCCCTGGCGGGCGCGCGCGGCACTGTTACCTGGGGGCGTGGACGTGGACCTGGACGTTGGCGAGACGAATCCACGCGTGTGTTGTGCAGACCTGTAATAGTCACAACAGCCTTGAATAGATCATCTTCACTGCACACATGAGCAAACACACCTATGGAGGACAATTGGTTTGCTTCCTATTTTCCAGCCGGTTAAGTGGCAAAGCAAGAACTTGAACCCAATCTTCCAACCCTGGTGCCCAGCAATCTTTCCAACCTGCAGCGCTGGGTGCTGGGTGCTGGGTGCTGGGTGTTAGGGCTAGCCTGGCCGAAAACATGGTCCCTTAGCTCATGATGCTGACGATCTGACTGGGAAAACCCAGACACACGAGAGAAGTTAAACTCCAAGGGCGTAAGGCAGGTGTGTGTATTTCTTTTGCATCTTCTATCACACTCTTAGTATAAAGTAGATGCTAAGTGAATATGCACTAATAAAATGAATTTACGTAAGAAAGAAGGAATGTTATAGGAAAATACAAGAACTCTACTAGATGAGTGAGTGTCAGATGGGGGAACCATGACTGGGAATGTCTTCAAGAGGAATGAACATGAAATGAGAACAAGCTGTTATAATAGTTAATAATCTCAATGATAAAATTTACATGCCTGCCTTCTTTTAACTGGTTTAAATGGATTCTTATTTAAATTTCATGACAATCCTATAAGCATGTGTTATTTCTATCACTTTTTTTTTTTTTTTCCTGATAGAGTTTGTTGAGGTTAAATATTTTGCCCAGGGTCACATGGCTAGGAAGTGGCTGGGCTGGAATTTGCAGCCAGGCAGTTTGCAGAATCCACACTCAACTATATCAGTGGTTTTGCAAGCAAACTTGGTTGCTCAAGGTAAACACCTTGGTCACATCCCCAGGAGTTTGTTAATAATTGGTCCAGAGTGTAGTCTGGGCAGCTGGGATTTGTAAAAGCTCCCCAGGTGATTATAATATACAGCCAAGTTTGAGAACCACTGCATTATGATAATTCCTTCAGGTGGTACTAAGTTCAGTTTTCCAATCTCAGTTAAGACCAAAAGCAAAAAGAATCTGCCATAGGTTGGAAAATCTTCAAAGAGGAGATAGCATTCTCAAGAATCCATTGTGCTATTATAATCTCCCATTTTCTGGATATACACTTCCCCCCAACACACACACCCAAATGTCTTATACTTACACGAACAGTTGTCTTTGGCAAAACTACATATTAGATCACTTCTGTTCATTTAGAGATTCATAATCATGATCATTCACCCTCATTTGCTACACTTCTGAGAAAACAAGGGATTTTGTCCCCTGTTAAAAACTCCTGGAGAGGCCGGGCGCTGTGGCTCACGCCTGTAATCCTAGCTCTTGGGAGGCCGAGGCGGGTGGATTGCTCAAGGTCAGGAGTTCAAAACCAGCCTGAGCAAGAGCGAGACCCCGTCTCTACTATAAATAGAAAGAAATCAATTGGCCAACTGATATATATATATATAAAAAATTAGCTGGGCATGGTGGCGCATGCCTGTAGTCCCAGCTACTTGGGAGGCTGAGGCAGAAGGATCACTCGAGCCCAGGAGTTTGAGGTTGCTGTGAGCTAGGCTGATGCCACGGCACTCACGCCTGGGCAACAGAGCGAGACTCTGTCTCAAAAAAAAAAAAAAAAAAACTCCTGGAGAGACAGCTTTGGTATAAGACAAGAAAGAACATTTTCTCATCAAATGTTATGTGATTCAAAGATTGTGTATTGGGACACAATAATCAACATAATACTATAATTTCAGACTACATTTTCACTCCAAATAAATAACCAACTAAAATGACATCAAATAGAAATTTCTTTCTGAAGTAATTTTTAAGCCTAGAGATATATTCAGAGCTGGCTGGGCACAGTGGCATGGACCTGTAGTCCCAGCTAATTGGGAGGCTGAGGTAAGAGAATCCCTTGAGCCCAGGAGTTCCAGTCCAGCCTGGGTAACAAAGTGAGACCCCTGTCTCTAAATTTAATATATATATATTTTTTTCAGGACACCAATAATGAAATATTTTTACAATTAGTGTTGCCTAATAGAAATATAATCTATATTAAATTTTCTAGTAGCCACATTTTCAAAAGTAAAAAGAAACTAGCAAAATTAATTGTACATTTTATTTAACACAAAATATCCAAATTTATTAACATTTTGACATGTAATCACTATAAAAATATTGCGATATTATATATTTTTTTGTACATGCCAGGTAAAATCCGGTGTATATTTTACACTCACAGCACATCTCATTTCAGATCAGCCCCTTTTGATGTGCTTAGTAGCCACATGTGGCTGGTGACTACCACAGGGAACAGCATAGATCTAGCCCAAGTCCGTGCCATGATATATTATTGCATTCTCAAGACACAACCCATATTGACTTCATTCATCCCTGATTTTGTTTCTAACTTGCCTCTGTTCCAACATTGTTTTAAAACTATCCAAAAACCAGGTCATTATGTTAAGTGAAATAAGCCAGGCACAGAGAGACAAATATCACATGTTCTTACTCACATGTGGGAGCTAAAAACGTTGATCTCAAGGAGGTAGAGAGTAGAGTGATACTAATAGATACTGGAGGCTGGGAAGGGTGGGTGAGTGGTGCAATGAAGAAGGGTAGGTTAATAGGTACAAACATACAGTTAGATAAAAGGTATATAAGTTCTATTGTTTGACAGCAGAGTAGAGTGACTGTAGTTAATCACAGTGTGTTGTATATTTCAAACTTCCTAACACACAGAAATGATAAATACTCCAAGTGATAGATACTTCAAATACCTTGACTTGATCATTACACATTCTACGCATGTAACAAAATATCACACGTACACCATAAATATATTAAATATTATGTATCAATGAAAATTTTTAAAAAGCAAGATTAGGCTGTGTGCAGTTGGGAGACCAAGGTGGGAAGATTGTTTGAGGCTAGGAGTTCAAGACCAGCCTGGGCAACAGAGTGAGACCCCTGTCTCTACAAAAAATGTTTAAAAAGCTGGGTGTGGTGGCACAGGTCTGTAGTGTCAGATACTCGGGAGGCTGAGGCAGGAGGATCACTTGAGCCCAGGAATTTGAGGCTGCGGTGAGCTATGACTGCACTGCTATACTTCAGCCTGGGCAACAGAGCAAGACCCTGTCTCAAAAAATAAATAAATGAATAAAGCAAGATTTAAAAAAAAAAACTATCCAAAGACTACAGGTCATTGCTGTGGCTGACTTGGATCCTGCAGTGACATCCTGCCAGCCTGTGTGTGACTACTAGCAGAAGATAGGACTCCAGCTCTCTGCTAATCCTACCTTCTTCTTCTTCTTGATCCTTTGCTGCCCCTTCAGGGCAATCTGTGGAACTGCACCATCAGCTTTATGAGCCCCGGATTCTAGCCCAAGCAATCCTTGCCTCAGGAGTGCAAAGAAGCAGAAGGTGTTTATCCAGGTAAACCAGAAAAAGCTGCAATAAATCTGACATATTGAAGATGTCATAGCAATTGCTCTGCTGCTTGGTAGTGAGACAGCACAGTGGTGCTGGAAAGCCCTCGGGCTCATACACAGACGATCTACCCTAGTGATGTAACTGTCAAGAATCTAATGGTAAATTTAAAGCATGGAAATATAACTTTGAGAAAACCTCAATTCCCACTCAAATGGCACAGTTAGGCAAAGCTTCAGAACTAAAAACACTTGGGTTCGAGTCTTTGCCAGTTGAGGGTCCGCACATCCCAGCTGGGCATCCTTAGCAATCGATTATTTTCTTCATCCTCTGCTGCCTCCCCCGGAATCAGCCAGTTCCTGTCCCCGGGCTCCTGTCACCCCAGCCAGCACTCCCTCCCTTCACTGTCCTTTTTCTACTTTACAGGACATGGTGTCCAGTCGACCTTTTATCCATTCTAAATTGCTCTTTATCTTCACCCCATCTTTCTTTCGCTCCTGTCTCTGAACAAATAAACTAAGTTCTAGGTGGACAGGAACCATGTCTGCTTTTGCTCAATATGGTATACCCAGCGCCTAGCCTGACCCACAGTAGGAGCTCAGCAGATATTTTCAGAGTAGAATAAATGAATAAATACTTCAAAGAATTCTATTTACAGGCAGCAAGCCTAAATGCTTATACCTTTCATGTTTCTCCAGTATTTATAGGAAGCAATGTTAGGAAAATAGCATGTAACCACTGATGAACTGATTAATAACGAAAATGGTTTGAATCTCACTCTAACATTTTGAGTTTCCTATGACTATCTTTTCCTCCCCCATGGTTGAGCCTTCATGGATTTTCTGTGCTTCCCTCCAATCTTGCTCATTTAGAGGGTCCTGGAGTTGCATACCCATCTCTTCCTTTTTCCACCTAGAACGAGCCTTGAGAATTGTGAGGGCCAAGGGCTTGAAGGGTAGAACGTCTTGTTTCTGAAGCGGTTAGTGGCTAACCTAGGTTGCAAAGCACCACACAGCCATGGAAAGAGAATAGACACCCAGCTCAGGGTGGTGGCAGCAGAGAAGAGAGTGCAGGGGGAACATGGGGTGGGCAGGGGAGTCAGTGCTTAGGCAGGTGGGCTCCTGGTTGTACAAGTGTGGCAAGATGTGCCAGACACACCCAGTTTAGAAAGAATCCCAAAATAAGTCCAATGACCCAATGACATCACAGACAGCCTGACAGTGATGTAAGAGAAAGGAAGAGGAGCAAGCCATAGAGAACAGAATTGTCTCAATCAGGGAGGAGACATGCAACCTTTTAAAAGACAAGGAGGCTGGGTGTGGTGGCTCATGCCTGTAATCCTAGCACTCTGGCAGGCCGAGGCAGGAGGATTGCTCAAGGTCAGGAGTTCGAGACCGGCCTAAGCAAGAGCGAGACCCTGTCTCTACTATAAATAGAAAGAAATTAATTGGCCAACTAAAAACATATATAAAAAAATTAGCTGGGCATGGTGGCACGTGCCTGTAGTCCTAACTACTCAGGAGGCTGAGGCAGGAGGATCGCTTGAATCCAGGAGTTTGAGGTTGCTGTGAGCTAGGCTGATGCCATGGCACTCTAGCCTGGGCAACAGAGTGAGAATCTGTCTCAAAAAAATAAATAAATAAATAAAATAAAAGACAAGGAGGCTGAGTGTGGTGGCTCACACCTATAATCCTAGTACTCTGGGAGGCTGCCATAGGAGGATTGCTTGAGCTCAGGAGTTCAAGACCAGCCTGAGGAAGAGCGAGACCTTGTCTCTAGAAACAATAAACAAAATTTTGGTGATGCATACCTGTATTACCAGCCACTTGGGAGGCTGAGACAGGTGGATCACTCAAGTCCAGGAATTTGAGGTTGCAGTGAGCTATGATGATGGCACTGCACTCTAGCCCAGGCGACAGAGCAAGACCCTGTCTCAAAAGAAAAAGACAAAAAAGAAAGAAAAAAAGGAAGGAAGGAAAGAAAAGAAAGAAAGAAAGAGGAAGGAAGGAACAAAGGAAAGGAGGGAGAAAGAAAGAAAGGAAGGAAAAGAAAGAAAGAGAAAAAAAGACAGAAAAAGAAAGGGCAAGGAACAGAAACAGTAGGCACTTTAGCATGGGCTTGTGAGCTTATAAGTAAGAAGCTAAAACTTGTTACCTTTGCCAACCTGGATCCTTCCTGGGTTGGTCAGTTTTGTGTTTCAGGCCAACCTCAGGGTATCTTCTTCCCACGTGAATCCTGTGAGGTTCCTTGGACTCTGGCCTGGGCTTTGTTACTGTTTCCAGCTTTGCCCTCCCTCCAGGGACACAGGGACATCCCTTCTTCTCATTGCCCACTCTGACCACCACTCCAATTTTTTTTTTTTTTTTTGAGACAGAGTCTCACTCTGTTGCCCAGGCTAGAGTGAATGCCGTGTTGTCAGCCTGGCTCACAGCAACCTCAAACTCCTGGGCTCAAGCGATCCTTCTGCCTTAGCCTCCCGAGTAGCTGGGACTACAGGCATGCGCCACTATGCCTGGCTAATTTTTTCTATATATATTTTTAGTTGTCCAGCTAATTTCTTTCAATTTTTTTTTAGTAGAGACGGGGGTCTCACGCTTGCTCAGGCTGGTCTTGAACTCCTGAACTCAAACAATCCGCCTGCCTCAGCCTCCCAGAGTGCTAGGATTACAGGTGTGAGCCACCGCACCTGGCCCTAATTTTTAAACTCATGGCCTACAGCCTTGGTTTCTCTGAGGTGAGGGATTTGGCAGAAAGAGGAACAGTGGTTCGGTATTGAAGTTTTTGAGTGCCTACAGAAAAATGAGCTGGAGATATGTGGTTGGAAATGGGAATCTAGAGATCTGAGTGTTTCTCAAATTTGATACAATTGAGAGCATTCCTCAGGGCACCAGCTTTGGTCTTTTTCACTTCTCTCCCTGAGCAATGTCACCTTCACTTCCTCATGGTTCACATGGCCACTGACAAGTGGACGGCTCCCTGCTTGTCCTCTAAAACAGCCTTACTGTGCTCAATCATAATGTGCAATGTTCAGTTACTTTCTCTATAACTTGTGACTCCTGAGAACAGGACTGTCTTCAATTATCATTAAACCTCATTTCCTCGCACACCCAAGAGTACTTACATTTGTTGAATGAATGCTGACTCTGATAGCAGGAGGAAGATTAATAATCATGATAGTTCCATATGGCAGAACATCAAACAGCTATTGCAAAATCTTGTTTTTGAAAAATATTTAGTGACACGGGAAAGGGCTAATAAACTAGAGGGTGAGATAGCAGAGCTACAATACTGCATCTTAATAGGATTGCAACTTTATAAAAACAAACACATGTATAAGCAGACAAAAAAGATAAGAAAACATATCACCATCTTAGTGGTAATTATCTCCAGTGATAGGATTTGGTTGCTTTTGTTTTTCTGACTTTCATATAGTTCCCAAATTGCCAATGAGAAAGCATCATTTTTCTTATTATTTAAACATAACTGAATGTTAATACTTTATGGTGTATTTTATTTCTAACTACTTGCCTTGATTATCCTCCTTCTATTTGCTATTGGGAGTTAACACCAATAGTGAAACAACTTTCTATTAATACCCACTGGTTAGGGATCACAGATTTTCACACATGTATTTTCAGTTCCCATTTTAAAGCTATACTGAATTAATGAATCTGGGACTTGACTATTTGCTATAAACCAGCAGAGTGGCTATGCTTAAGGTACATATATGGAATTTTATCCTATTTCTATTAACTCAGCCACTCTTGTGATTGTAATATAAATTTTTAGAAGGCAAAAAGTACATTAGATAAGAAGTGATGGAAAGTCAGAGTTGTAAGGATTAAAGATAATTTGGGGCTGGGTGTGGTGGCTCACGCCTGTAATCCTAGCTGGGAGGCCGAGGCAGGGGCATTTCTTGAGCTCATGAGTTTGAGACCAGCATGAGCAAGAGTGAGACCCTGTCTCTACTAAAAACAGAAAAATTAGCTGGGCATCGTGGTGTGTGCCTGTAGTCCCAGCTACTGAGGAGGCTGAGGCAGGAGGATGGCTTGAGCCCAGGAGTTTAAGGTTGCTGTGAGTTACAATGATGCCACTGCACTCTACCTGGGATGACAAAGCGAAACTCTGTCTCGAAAAAAAGAAAAAAAGATAGTTTTGATTTTTAAGAAGCGTTCAGTAGAAATCTTGCTTTGAAAGCTCTTTAAAGAGTATGTGCCATATCATATATACATGTATGCAGAAATACACATCTAAATCGTCCCCTTTTAATAAAATAAAACAACTTCAGGTGAGCACTATGGTTCTGAATGGGCAAATGCTTGGACTAGTATCTCTGTGGGTCAGACTTCTGTTTGTCACTTCATGCTGCCCTGGAGTCCCCTTTCATGTGCGAGCTGTCACCCAGATCCATCCTTCAGGCCACCCTCTGGAGTCCTCCTCCTAGTAACACTTAGGAAACCAATCTTAGCCTTGCCAGAGGGAGGTGTTACAGCTTTGATTATATTCCTTTGTAGCTTTCTTTCCACATTCACCCAAATAGATGTATTATTATATAGTTTTCTCGTTTCATCCTGTTACTGATAACGTTAAGAGTGTCTCTGCTAGTACATTCATGCCTGCTGTACAGGCCAGGCAAGGTATTTAATAAATCACTGTATATAGGACACAGAGGCTTAGGTAATTTAAATGACACAATTAAATAAAAGGTATTTGTGGAAAATCCTGAAAATAATTCAATTGCTCTAAAATAATCTATATGTAGTATATCTTCCCTCTCGAGACTGTTAAAAAATTCAGTATTCTCCCAATGCGGACACATATCACATAAGAGACCAACTACATAAAGAAGATATCTCATTTGTATTATTGGAGATTCTTTGGGTGCAAGTTATAGAAACCAACTCTAGCTAAAGCAAGAGAAGAGACACAGAAACATGGAGAGTTTCTTTCGCTACCCTGGGCAGTTGGGTTCTGCAAGGATGAAAACAGACCAAAACACTGGTGGCTTTTTGTGTTTTTTTCCCAATAGATTTAAGGGGTACAAGTGTTTTTTGTTACGCGGATGAACTGTACAACGCTGCCTCTGGTTTTCATCTCCGCTTCCCTTTCTGCAGGTCAGTATTCTTTCTCAGATCTATGTGGCAGAACATGGCTGCCCTACATTTCTTGGGCTTACATGTTACAGTTTTATCCCCCCCACCCCCCCAAGCAGCTAACCTGCCTTTCCAGTCCCAAGTCCAAAAGTCTTTGAAGAGAATCAGACTGGTCCAGCTCAGGCTAACTGTCCATTCTTGGTGCATTCAGCTGGCGACACAAGTGGAGTTGGGTAGTCATGGCTCCTGGAAGTCCACCCTGTGGATGAGGGGCAGGTCTCAGAGAAGCAGGACTCACTGTGAGCAAGGGAGACACTCCAAATTGATAGCCTGATAAGTATAACAGAATAGATCAATGGCAGACAGCTTCGAGAGCAGCAGTTCCTAAATGTGGGCCAAGGGAACAGAGAGGTCAATAAGACATATCTCTGGGGAGAGTAACCATAGCTTGCATCAATATTAAAGGGGTCCAAAAACCTCTGTATTAACAACCTGTAATTTCATAGCACACATACACACACACACTCTCTCTCTCTCTCTCTTTCTCTCTCTCTCTCACACACACACACAATTAGGAAACTCATTTTTTTTCTTTTTGTTGAAACTCATTTTTTATAATACACACTATCCTATTAACATGAACTACACAATCTCAACCAATCTCAATTCAGCTATTAGGTACTGCAGGGTTAGAGAGGAATGTCTGATTTAACAAAATGAGTTTGTTAATAAAGAATTGAGAAATTTTGATTTTAAACCATGATTTTAAACCTGGCCCTAAGCATACTGTACTTCATTAGGCTTGATCATTTAAACAGATTAAAGGAAACAATAACTCAGGTAAAACTTTTTAATTCTCAATTTATTCTTACAGTTGGGAAAAATACTTTGTTCCACATAGGTTAGTTTGTTTAATTAAAATTTCTTGTTTTTTGATTCTGTTACATAGAAAATTACACATGGAAAAAACATGTGAAAAGGGATGTTAGGATTTGAGTATAAGATGAAGTTTTATAGTAAAAACTAATCCCTAGTAAGAACTAACCCCTTCTTTTACATAATTTTTGGGACTACCTTGAACCCTACTAAAGTATATTTCTTTAATCATTCTAAATTTCATAAAGAATGTAATTTTTCTATGTTTATCATATTCAAGTTATATGCATTTTCTTTTATTTTTAAATATGTAAGTAATATATACTATAAGACACACAGGTATAATCTTTCACCCTCATTATACTCTCCTCTCCAAAGGAGCCACTTTAACATTTTAGTATTATTTTCTGCTAAAAAGTTATATGCCTTTTTGAGCACAGGTCTATGATATGATTTATGAACAATTAAAAAAAAATTTCATCCATTAGATTTTCAGGCCTTAGCATAATTTTCAATTGCTTAAAAACATGTTAATGCTACTTGATTTTATTTATATCTCATTTATTTTTCTGTAAGTAGATATAACTCTTCAAAAATATAGTCAATTCCCCAACTTGTATGTCGTTCTTCAAAAACGTCAACCTTCTCCAGACAATGAATATCGCATATTGTACCTGAAAGAAGGAGAAAGAGTAACAAGTTAAAACATTATGGAGAATGACATCAGAGGTTCTTCTAAAAATACTTCAAATGATTTTAAAAATACTATGTACTGGAACCTTTTCTCTTCTTTTTAATAAAAATGGGGAAATGCTAAGGGCAGATTTTCTGAACTCTGAGTTGTTATCACTTATAGCTCCCAAGAGCAAAAATAAATATGCCATCTCTCTAGAAAAGTTCAAATGTCTTCAACATAAAGCATATAGCTAAAAAGACACCTTACAGAGACTGGTTTCTTTTCTGGAATAAAAAGAATCTTCAATAAAATTGTCTCTAATTTTTAAATTTTATATACATAGTTTAGATACTAATAGTTCACTAACAGCTCAAAACAGTTAATCATTGACTGTATTAAAAAAGTTATAGGTAAGTTATAGCAAAAGTTATAGCATAACTTACCAAACAACCTTTTAATTTCAGCATCTGGAACATAAAACGGTGGGCCTAAGTAAAAGAGAAATGCAGTGAAGATTAATTTCTACAAATCTTCTAATTCTAAAGAAAAATAAATTCTCAGGACCCACCTTCTCAGCTTATTTCCAATAACCTACGTGTATTTATTTTATATTCAACTTAATTATCCAAATAGGTGACTATGTGGCATGTTCTAATTCTTCTTTTGCAGATCTCATACCAAAGTAGACTGGCTTATTGAGGGGATGGCAATGTTATGTACTACTCATTGCCAGCCCAGATGAGATAGCCATGCCAGCCAAGTGTCTTAGGAACATTGAAATCAGAGTGGAATTCATCAGCAAATTCCTTTGGGGTTTCCTTCATATTCCGGGGTATTGATTTTCTACCAACTCCTACACTCACCCACATTCTATACACCCCTCCCACTCTGCTGCGGAATGTGGATTTTATAAGGAACCTTATTAGTTCTGCCCCTTTCCAGAGCAGTATTTGCAGTCCCCACCTCCAGACAGAGCCTGCTGTGTTTTTTTCCCACAGGCCCTTCCTTAGGCCTCCTGTTCATGAACAGAATTTAAATCAGATTAGCAGAGCTAACTGCTGTCTCCATTAATTTCTATTTTCATCTGATGGTCTCAGACTTAATTAAGGATATTAGGTCTCATCTTTTAATGAGTTTTTAAGACCTGATTTACTCAAACAGAAAAAAACAATACTAACATATGTAAATATTTATAAAACAAGGCACCAACTCAGTTAAAAATCAAAAAGGGGATTTTTTACAAATTAAAAGTCTACATATTTTGTTTTCACTTCTTCCTGAATATAAAAGTCCAGTCATGACAAAGGTTCAGTTTCAATGTTCAAATGCATCAAAACGAGTCCAGAAGAAAACATACATTTTACAGATTTGAAACAAAGAGTTACAAAAGAATGCAATAGATAAATTATAAAATTTCACAAGTTAAAAAAAAAACAGCAACAATTTAGAGATTTTCCTGCACAACTCCTCCCTCCCCAATCCACATCTTACCCCATTCTCCTGTGAGGGTACATTTGTGCGTGCAGACAACAGAACAACACATCATAACCACTACGGATGGCAGGGATATGCAAAATCCATAGCAGGGCAACCAAATTTCTCCTTCCTAATCCAGGGCTTGTGAGATTTTTATATTAGGATAATCCATTTCCCCCCTTTCCTATAGTTTGAGCTATGAATGGTGGGCAAAATGGGAGAGGAATGTAAGAAAAACATGCACACTTTGGAAAGAGAAAAAAATGTTTATAGTTCACATTAGCCAAAAATGGAATTATCTTCATGTATAGAAGCGGTATGCTTCCTATGAGATAAATTAAGAGAAAATAATTCTTATCCATGTCATAGAATTACATCAGGAAATTAGGCAACTATAAAAAGAGGGAAAAAAACACTTTACCTGGATGTTTAGTCGGATCATAAGACATAACAGCCAGGAGGTACCGAAACCCTTTTCTCAGGAGGGACGACATTATATCTGCGTAGCTAAAAAGAACACAAGAAGGAATTTGTTACATTTCTCTGCACAGGCAAAGGCCGCTGGGGCAGGGGCCAAGAGGCAGGGAAGGAAGCTGGCATTTGCTTTCAGCGACATTACTGAGCTTAATTCTCCTGACCATCACATGAGGTCAATTCTCATTTTAAAAGCGAGAAATGGGCTCAGCAAATGATGTCCCCTGCCCGAGCTGGGAAACGGTCAAGATGGGAGGCAAACTGAGGCCTGCATCCAGTGTGGTTGGACCAGAAGACCTCACACCAGCAGGAGCAGGGCTCCTTCCAGCGTGGTGCAGTACTCGGGGCCTGCTGACCTTGGACGTATGCCTGAAGGACCTCGTGCTTCTGTGTCCTGGAGGGCGGGGTGGTTCCTACGCCAGGCCGAATGTCAACATCTCCAGGACGCTCGTTGAAAGAAAAGACACTTGAGTGTCTTTTCCATCCCCGCTGACTGACAGTGGGTCTGCTGTGGGGTCCGGGATGTTGCAATTTAGCACATATCCCAGGTGACTGGGACCTCCCCAGAGGCATATGTAAGAGGGACAAAACACAATCCCTAGGCCGGGCACGGTGGCTCACGCCTGTAATCCTAGCTCTCTGGGAGGCCGAGATGGGCAGATTGCTCGAGGTCAGGAGTTCGAAACCAGCCTGAGCAAGAGCGAGACCCCGTCTCTACTGTAAATAGAAAGAAATTAATTGGCCAACTAATGTATATAGAAAAAAAAATCAGCCAGGCATGGTGGCGCATGCCTGTAGTCCCAGCTACTGGGGAGGCTGAGGCAGAAGGATTGCTTGAGCCTAGGAGTTTGAGGTTGCTATGAGCTAGGCTGACGCCACGGCATTCACTCTAGCCTAGGCAACAAAGCGAGACTCTGTCTCAAAAAAAAAAAAACCACAATCCCTTTCCTCTATTTAGCTGGAGAGAGACAAGACTAACAGGTAGGTGAAAAAAGGCAGCATTAAATTAAAGTTCTACAAGTGTGGCATAAACCACAAATGCTGCTGGAAATATCTTTTCCAGTGCCTGAGGGAGCAGGTGACACCACTTCCCAGACAGGTCTGATTGGTTCACAGTGGGGGGGCCTGACTCTAAAGGGACCCATCAGTAGACTGACCAGGACCAGATACAGAATGATGAGTTGGACCAATCAAATGACGCCCTTGGACATTAAGAGACCAAAGAGGAATTGCTAGTACGCTGTGGTCCTTGTGCTGAAAGTTAGAGCTTTTCTGCTGTGTGGAGCTTGGAGCAAGGAGGCGGAGGGTTGTCAGCAAGTCAGCTATGTGGGGACAGAAATGGAGTAAGCAGAGGGGTAAGGACAGGAGGACAGAGGTGACTCATGCAGGGAGTTGGGGATGCCGTGAGAGCCAGGCCCACAGGGACAGACAGACACCCCTGCCTATACTGTGATCCTGCCCAGAGCTGTGTGAGATTAGGAGTGTGGACGCTGTGAGATGCCTGAGCTCAAAACCCAGCTCCTCCACTCGCTGGTTATGTAAGCTCGACAAATTCTTAACCTCTCCGTGCCTCAGTTTACTCACCTGTAAAATGGGAATAAGACTAGTAACCACCTCACAAGTTGCTGTGCTAATTCAAGGGTGGATTTTCACTCTTCTTCGCAGGTGAAAGAACCAGAGTAAAGCAAACTTTTGAGCAGAAACCCTGACTTCTTAACTTTCTAATTCTTGTTCTTAAGAAGAAGTAAGAGGAGGAAACTTGCTGTCACCATGAAGGTGATCAGTCAGACTGGTTTGGCAGGGTTTCCTAGGATGGACAGACTTCATTTTTTTTGAAATGTGGACTCTCTCTCAACTAGTCTCAAAAAGTTCAGAAAAAGGAGAGAGGTATGCCCCACTGATTTATGTTAGGCAATAGCTCAAGAGTTACAGCAGAAAATACATAAGTACATGACAATGTGCAGAAGACACTCAGTACTAACAATAGTACTGAGTTAAAGTACTAACATACTAAGTACCAAGATATTAAGTATCAGCATATAAAGTAGTTTATCTTTCTATTAGTTCAAAGTAAGTAGTTATTTTGGAAATAAAGGCCAATATGTTCTCTGGTGTGCTTTGGGCCGGTGATCACACAAACACACACACACACTCTTTCTCTCTCTCTCTCTCTGCTGGGAGGAGAGGGAGGAGTTAGAGTGGGAGAACTAGGGAGCACACAGAGTCTATGGCCAGGCTAGAATGGGATTCCCTAAATCAGAGTTCCAGAAGGGTCCTCACTATTCCTCATTCATTATTAATAAACAGTTCAGAGTCTACTCAGATGGCCTTTATATCTAAGAACAAATGACATGGTGATGGTCAGCAGGAAACAGTCTATTTCCCTTGCACTAAGTCCAGTTTTCTTCCATTCATTCATTCATTCATTCATTCATATACGGAGTCTCGCTCTGTTGCCTGGGTTAGCGTGTGGTGGCGTCAGCCTAGCTCGTAGCAACCTCAAACTCCTGGGCTCAGGTGATCCTCCTGCCTCAGCCTCCTGAGTAGCTGGGACTACAGGCATGCACCACCATGCCCAGCTAACTTTTAGTTGCCCAGGTAATTTTTTTTTCTTTCCATTTTTAGCAGAGACAGGGTGTCACTCTTTTTCAGGCTGGCCTCGAACTCCTGACCTCAAGCAATCCTCCTGCCTCGGCCTCCCAGAGTGCTAGGATTATAGGTGTCAGCCACTGCACCTTGCTTCTTCCATACATTTATAAAAAAAGATTTATTAAGGGGCAGGTACAGTGGCTCACGCCAAATCCTGTGCTTTTTAGATAAAGCTGGTATTAGATTGAGGTCTTCTAATTCCAAATACAATAAACTATTTCAAACTACTAAAAGTCCAGCTAATTTTCTGCAACTCAGAAGAAGTACAGCATACTAAATTAAGAAGGGGGGGGGAAGAAAAAGAAAAACCAGCATAATTAAAGAAACCAAATTACTTACCATTCACGATCACCAGGATTAATGGCAACTAATGCTCCTCTATCCCAAATCCTGTCAAATTTGCCAATATTCGTTCTGCCAGAAAGGAAGAGGAAAAAATGCAACATTTTATGCAAAAAAAATCTAATCTTCAACAGAATGAACCATGCTCCCCCCGTGGTGCATGCTGGTACTCCACCAACTTTCAAGAAATTAAGATCGCATATCTGCTTTTGTTCATCACGTCCATAAGGATGTCTTGACCTGGGTGTGAGGAGTGTCTACCTTCTCATGGTTGTAGGAGCCTGAGGCAGCAGCCTCCCCACTCTGATAATGACTTGGGAGCATGGATGAGGAACAAAGCACAATGTGTGACAACTCTGCTCCTCCTAGCCCCCCTGGCTCTGGTATCAGAGACTTGCAGGAGATCTCGCCTCCCTCTGTATCTCAAAATTCATTTCTGTTGCAGGCCCCAGTGCAAGGTAGAAGACATTGTCTTACTCTCTCTTCCTTTTTCTCTACCTGCCTTGGGACACAATAATGTTTCCCATCGCTTGGGAGCTATCTAAGGACAAAGTACTAAGTGTGCAGACAGCTAGGCTATAATAAAAACAACTGCAGAACAGAGACTCAAATCAATGATTTGTGGATGTTACACAAAGGGATGGGAGTGACGAAAAGACCTCCACCCTCACGCCCACACCGCCTAGCAAGCACTTGAATTTTTAGAAGTACAGCTGTAGTGTTTCGTCCTACCTGGGAAGATCAAAAATGCTGCAACAGTACAATGAAATGTTCCCTGAAGAACTCTGTAATGAAACAATGAAAACAATGTTTTCTACTTAGGAGATACTTGAATGGTCAAGGTGCCCATTCAAGGGCCCAAGCAAAGCCAAGGTGTTCGGGAGAGAATGTTTATTGAACATAATTAAAGTGAATAATTTTACTTCTTTACTTTTTTCTTTCAAAACCCATGTGGGATTCTTTTGGGTCAACTCACAGAGGAAGATCTTAGACAGGGTAACCCTGAAGATGAGTTAGCTATTATTGGTTTCAGAGCTTGCTGTGAAATTTTAGCAATATCTCCTTGAGCAGATCCTAATATTTTGACTCTGCTAAAGTTAAATCTGCAGATCAAGCAATCACCAGGAAGGCTGATACAGATAGGCCAGATATGTTAAGTTATTCATGAAACACGCACTTTAGCTAATGAGCATGTATTTCCTGAGCATCTAGTAGACAGGACACCTATCCTGGGTTCTAGATGGTGGATGTGAACTCAACACAGTCTCTGACTGCAGGGAGGACAGCCTGGAGCAGAGAGGTGTGGGCACAGAGAAACACCGGGATATAAAATGGCCTGCACTGTTATGGTTGTGTACCCGAGAACCATGTGAACCCAGAAGACACGGCAGAGGCCTGCCTGCAAGCAGCGGGGAAGGCCGAACCATAGTTGGCTTTTAAAAGGGTGTACTGGTGCATCTGCTGATGCATCCAGGAAGTGAAGCAACATGACACAGACTTGAGCAGTCTGGGAGCGGGCATGAATGGCAGGGTAGGAAAGGTGCATCAGGACATCAGACCGCTGGATTTTATTCTGAAATAAGGCGCCCACACAGGTTTAAAAGCAGAGGAGGGGCCGGGCGTGGAGGCTCACGCCTGTAATCCTGGCACTCTGGGAGGCCGAAGCGGGCGGATTGTTCGAGGTCAGGAGTTAAAAACCAGCCTGAGCAAGAGTGAGACCCCATCTCTACCATAAAATAGAAAGAAATTAATTGGCCAACTAATATATATAGAAAAAATTAGCCGGGCATGGTGGCACATGCCTGTAAGTCCCTGCTACTTGGGAGGCTGAGGCAGGAGGATCGCTTGACCCCAAGAGTTTGAGGTTGCTGTGAGCTAGGCTGATGCCACAGCACTCACTCTTGCCTGGGCAACAAAGCGAGACTCTGTCTCAAAAAAAAAAAATAAAATAAAATAAAATAAAAGCAGAGGAGGAAAGGTCTTTGAATGCCAGCCTGGGGGCACTGTGGGTCAGCACAGAGAGGGGTGGGCCTGGAGGCAGGAGAACAGCTGGTAGATTTCAACTTAGCCTGAGATTGGATCACTAGGGAGCTTTGTACTATACTGAGGCCAGGGCCCCACTCCTGGAGATTCTTATTGAATTGGGCTGAGGTGAGACCTTTGCTTTGGAAGTTTTTCATAAGATCCACAGATGATTTAAAATGTGCAGCCATGGGTGGGAACTGCTGTTCCAAGACAAGTCTGGAAGTAGGACTAGCCTCTTTGGACTGAATAAACTCCTTGGATTTTTAAAAATGATTTAGGAACTGGGTGGGAGGAAGCTATAAAATAAGGTACTATCAAGCTTCCTACTGATCTGAGCAATTAATTTCATTATCTAAAAAAGAGTACTCTGTGAGACTGAATATACAAATGGACGATGGCCAGACCCTAGATTGGGGGTGCCCAACCTTTTTGGCACCAGGGATCGGTTTTGTGGAAGACAGTTTTTCCATGGATGGTATTGGGGGCAGGCAAAGCTCAGGTGGTGATGCCAGCGATGGGGAGTGGCTGTAAATACAGATGAAGCTTCACTTGCTCACCCACTGCTCACCTTCTGTTGTGCAGCCCCTGGGGTTCCTAAGTTTCGTGGAAGACAATTTTTCCACAGACTGGGGTAGGCGGGGGTGGTTTCAGGGTGATTCAAGGGCATTACATTTACTGTGCAGTCAAACCTCCCTGCTAATGATAATCTGTATCTGCAGCTGCTCCCCAGCGCTAGCATCACCGCCTCAGCTCCACCTCGGATCATTAGGCACCAGATTCTCATAAGGAGAACACAACCTAGACCCCTCGCGTGCGCAGTTTATAGTAGGGTTCATGCTCCTGTGAGAATCTAATGCCGCTGCTGATCTGACGGGAGGTGGAGCTTATGCAGTGATACCAGGGCTGGGGAGCGGCTGTAGATACAGATGAAGCTTTGTGTGCTCGCCCAATGCTCACCTCCCGCTGTGCGGCCTGGCTCCTAACAGGCCACAGGCTGGCACTGCAACCCTAGGTGGCAACAGAACTCTGACCCACAACCTCTGCAGCAACTGGCCTGGGAAGCCAAATCACAACTTCTGCAGCAACTTGGCAAATGACTGCCAGCTTCCCTGGTTTTTACCACCACCCGACTTCTAATTCAGGACCAACTAGAGACAGGCAAATGTGCCCCCATAACCAATCATATAGGATGCCCCGTTTCTAGTGGCCCACCTCCAGCTTCCCCATGTCAATAGCCTCCTATCAGCACACACCTGACCTTTGCTTTTGCCCACTGCAAAGCTTTCCTGCCCCCCTGCCTGCCTGTGGGTCTCTGCCAAACACAAATGGCCGGCTCTCTCTGCACACACAGCCTCTGCTTGTCTCATTGGGGTGGTATCTATTTATTTGCACGTTATCACCCCAAAGTGGTGAGGCAGTCACACTGGATCATTCTGGTCATAGGTTGAAGACAACTCCCAGACTTATAATTTCCAGCCCAAACACCACCCTGTGCTTCAGAGACGAAAAACCTTCGTCAAGCCACAGGTCCTTTAAACTCAGCATCTTCAGAAGAACGCTCATTTTCTCTGCCCTTCAACTTGCTTCTCCTGGATTCGCTACCATCCAACCAGTCATCTGAGGTGGAAACATGAACCCATCACTCCTTTGGTTTCCCACTCAATTAGCCACAAAACTCTGTTGGTTTGACATCATAAACATTGCTTTAATCCATCTTATACACTCTATATGCGCCATCCTTCAGGCCTTTGTGATCTCCTTTCTGGACCACTGCCCAAAGACTGCTACCTGGTCTCTCTGCCAGGAGGCTACTTGCCTTCAAATTACTTCCCATAAAGGGAATTTATCTCAAAAGTAAATCTGGCCGTGTTATGCTCCTATGTAAAACCCCACTGTGCGGTATGAAGTACTCGCTTCCCAGGGCATCTGAGACCACAGACATGAGCCCTGCCTGTCTCCAGTCTCACCTGTCACCACGCTGCAGGAAGCACCCCCAGCCAGCACTGGGTGACACTGTTCCCCATGTCTTTACACTTAGCTTCCTGTACTACAAAGAGCTTCATCCCTCTTTCTCTTCTCTCCTAAGCTACGAGATTCTTTTAAGGTTAGGGACTATGTTATCTTTATCTCTTCAGTGTCTTAATCAGAGTCTGGAATATGATAGGTTCTCAAAAACTACGTTTGAGAAAAACCAAACAAACCCAAAAACAGGAGTATAGAGAGACTTTGACCTCAGCTTTTATACATATTAGCATAATGTCTAGGTATGTGATAGAAGCCCTCTGACACGTGTGTAATACCCTCATTTACTGAGAAAAAACTTTTTTGTGGGGGCATGGAAACAATTTGTTACCCAAACCAAAACAAACCTTAAATATTTTGGCTCCAGGAATTTCTGTGATAGGTTCTTCCGAGTAAGAAAGATTCTGCTCTGTAAAAAATTCTCGTATCCCAAGTTCACTGATTTCCACACCAACTACACTGTGTCCCAGGTCTGCAAACCTGCATAAAACCATACATTTACACTTCAATTTTTTTTCAAATTCAGTACTAAATAGAGGGGTATACCCCACAAACATACATTTTCCTTAATTCTTTTTTTTTTAATTTAAAGAATTTTTTTAGAGACAGGGTCTCACTCTGTGTAGCCTTGAACTCTGGGCTCATGGGATCCTCCTATTTTGTCCTCCTGAACAGCTGGGATTGCAGGTGTGTATCACCAAGACTGGCTAATTAAAAAAAAATCTTTTGTACAGACAGGGTCTTGATACATTGCCCCAGCTGGCCTCAAACTCTTGGCCTCACACACTAGGATAACAGATGTGAGCCACCACACCTGGCCACATTTTCCTTAATTTTAAGTGATTTACATGAATTTAGGCTCGCAGGGTTTCATAGAACATGTAGGAAAGTGGATCTATATATTTCAAACCTCATGTTATGTGGAATTCTGAAAAATTGATTTATATGACCTGAGCAAAAAATTGAAAATTTGGAAAATTATATTTTATTTTATTTTTTTTGAGACAGAGTCTCGCTTTGTTGCCCAGGCTAGAGTGAGTGCTGTGGCGTCAGCCTAGCTCACAGCAACCTCAAACTCCTGGGCTCAAGGGATCCTCCTGCCTCAGCCTCCCAAGTAGCTGGGACTACAGGCATGTGCCACCATGCCCGGCTAATTTTTTGTATATATTAGTTGGCCAATTAATTTCTTTCTATTTATAGTAGAGACGGGGTCTCGCTCTTGCTCAGGCTGGTTTCGAACTCCTGACCTCGAGCAATCCGCCCGCCTCGGCCTCCCAGAGAGCTAGGATTACAGGCGTGAGCCACCGCGCCCGGCCGGAAAATTATATTTTAAAATATTGACTAATACAAATGCATTTGACTAGGAGAAATACTTTCAATTTCCCTAAATGAACGTTGTTCATTAAAATTTTCTGCAATGATGAAAATGTCTGCATCTGTGCGGTCCAACACAACATCCATCAATCAATCACATTGGCTATTGAGTACTTGAGATATGGCTAATCTGACTAAAGAATTGAATTTTAAATTTTCTTTTAGTTTAAATTTAAATAGCCACATGTGGCTAGTAGCTACCGTATTAGAGCACACAGCTCTAGGACATTAGCATCCAAAAAAAAAAAAAAGTAGCTGGGTGTGGGGGCACACACCTGTAGTCCTAGCTACTTGGGAAGCTGAGGCAGGAGGATCGCTTAAGGCCAGGAGTTCGAGGTTATAGTAAGCTATGATTGTGCCACTGCACTGCAGCCTAGTTGACAGAGTAAGACCTGGTCTCTAAAAAGAAAAAAACAATTACCAGGCTGATGGGGAAAATGAGAGTTAGGTTACAACATTAAAAAAGTCAGTGCCACATTAAAAAGAAAAAATACAGGAATCTAACAACAGTTTTGCACATGGTAAATGGTTAAGAAATAAATACTACAATGTGGCATTTTACCTTGAAAAAGATCTAAAGTTTACTTGTAGAACTGTCTATTGGAAGGGCTGCAGTTTGTGAGTCATTATGAAGTGACTGAAGGAGGGTTTTTGGAAATCAAATGTTAAATTGTATAATAATATCAGCTGTGGATTGGAGCGGTTTATAGCACCTGAGGTAAACTGATGTAGCTGGGAGATGTTTCAAGTATGTGCACGTGTGCATTTTGTCTATTCACACATGACTTAGTTCAGTTGGGTGTAGTTTTCTGCTTTTTACCTACAGCTTTTTGCAGACGAAATCACACACAAAGGTGAAATTCACTTCATGCTCAAATTGTTCCAAATTGAGTTAGAATTAAATTCATAGTTTCAAAACAAGAGATACAGCAGGACTGATTGTACCTATCATCTCCTTAAGAGTACAAGCTTTCAGTGTGGGCAGAGCATGAACTGTTCTAAATGAAATATTTTAATAACTTACCTGTCATATTTCCTAGGAAATTTGTAAGCTAACATACAGGGAATATATTTTTATTCTTCATACATTTTTTGTAAGTTATAAAAGGTAAACAAAAAGCTATTTAAATTGACTGCATGCATTTTTATTTCCTGTCCGACATATGGAAAAATGAAGTATAGCCTACTATAGCCTGGCATAAAAAAAAAAACAAAAGATAAAATCTGAAATATCTTAAACATTTCATTTTAATGCTTTTTTGCATTAGCTCATGGTCACTTTATCTATTCACATCTGATGTTTGTATAGACCTCAATGTATAGATTAGTTACATCAATAAAAAAACCCCTCTAATACAATAACTTACATGCAATTACAGTAGCTCAGTTCTGATATTTTTATTACAGATGGCTTCAGATTCAAAATATTCAACAATCATATTTAACTGGCTATTTCATCATATTATTTTCCTTATGTTGCCTCAATACCTCTGCTAGAGCTACACTATTACCATTTATGACAGCACTGTAAGACAATCTGTTTAACAGAGTTAGTATTTTTCTTGTAGGTGGTTTCCAAAGTAACTTTCTCTTCTGATTCTGTGGTTAAGATATAGGTCTAATAATAATACAGTGTAAATGTTCTCAATTTCTGGGCTACACTTGAATCTTAAGCCAAAAGAGCTATTGAACAAGTACTCTCAGCTACAAGTTGAGGGAATGTGAGCTGGCTACAAAAATTCCACCATCTCTACTCGAAAAATCAACTCCAAATGCATGCATGCTCTGTGAGTCAGTCACCGTTATATAGGGAATGGAATCTTTTTAAGTTACTATACTTTGCATTTACTAACCTTTTCCATACATCCTTTTTTCTTTCCTGCTTAGTGTTCAAAGTTCTCAACATTCAAGCTTATAAATGAATACATATCTTGGCAGGTATGACTGTGTCTGCAGATTATCACGACAACAGAGTTATGCATAGAGAATGATTTTGAGGTTTGTGACTTTAGGTTAACCCATAGTAATAGTGGCTTGTTATTTAACATGAATTCTCTTTGTAGAGATTTACTCACAAGGAAATACTTTCTTCATCACTGGTTTTGTGCTCCAAGGGGGAGGGGAGAGTTGAACTATAAACACTGTCCTGCCAAAAAGTTGTAATTCATTTTGAATATTTCTGTCTGCCGCCATTTCAAATATCTAAAATTAACTTCGCTAAATTCCTAAACTACCTACAAAAACTGAACAGCACACAAAAATCCAGGAAATGTAAGAGGGAAGGTGGGATTTTCTCCCCCATGGTTCCAAACTAATTCTTTTTCTTTAAAACTCAATACAGAAAGACTAGGTCATACCTGTTTCTGCTCCATTTCTTACTGTTGAGAATATTACCTCCCATTGTGTGCCCATCATGAATAGTCTACTAAAAATAAGGAATCCCTGTGCATTTCACTGAGAACAGACTTTTTAACCCACATCCTGTTAAACATTCACCCGAAGAATTCATCATTGCGACAAGAAATATTATTTTAATAATTAATTATTATTATTAATTATTATCTGCTCATACCATTTCATCTCAACTGCTTTTCCGCAAAGAGGAAAAAATACCCTCAGTCCACTCTCGCCTTTAAGAAAAGTATCCAAGTACTTCTTTAATAGCCTGGAAAGGAAAAAAATCAGTTGTTTTTTTTTTTTGGGGGGGTTTCAGTCAGCCTAACGCACAGAGGAAAGAACAGTTGCATGATACTAAGCTCTTTTCATGCCCTGTCTCACTTAAAATTCCCAACAACCTTAACAAATATATTATTTATTATAATCTCTAGTTTATATATGAGGAAATAGGAAAAACACTATTCCTTTTCAACATAAAGAATTGGAGGCATAAACTTTGCTTGAACATCTGATATATGTATAAACACGCATGATCAGTACATAGATGCTGCAGGGGATGTTAAAAAATTACATATTTCATAAATCTAAGATGCCATCAATTTTAAGTTACACCATTATTTATACACTGTGGGAAGAAAAGACACTGTCAATTAAACTGTTACATGCCACAGATGTGCTGTGGCACTAAAATGTGAAAAATTAAAATGTGCACCTTAAGAACAGTCAAATAATGTAGATCTATATTATTTCTATCTCAAAGTCAGTTTCTTATAGAGCACTTCTCTGTTATTAATATGCACCAAACACTTCTTACTGATGTCCTTGTTCTTGATGAAATGCAATTTTGCGGTTCACCCACTTGTCTTGCCATTCTTCCAGAGTTAGTCCTTGGTTTTTCTGTACCTCAGTATCAGGGTACTCTTTAATATCAAGCAGAGTTTTTGTATTATCCATAGTTTCATAGATATCTTTCTCCAAGGTCTAAATGAGAAACATTTGCAATGTTAACATTTCAAGGGCATCACAATTCTATTGATGAATTAATTAAACATCTATTACCCTTATTATCCTTAGCAGTATGGCTTTTAAAGACATTTCAGCATCCAATGAAAAGACATACAAAAAATTACTTTTCACTGAGGATAGTGGTAAAACATACCTCTTAGTACACATTAGGAAAGATCTTTAAATCAATTATATCTTAACGTTAGAATAAAAGGGCTTGACTTAAGTGAAAAAAGCAGGGGAAGGGACAAAAAATAAACAGGCATTTCACAGTTTATAATTTTCATAAGCTTAGGATGTTTTCTAGTATCTTACTTCCTCCTTAATTTTTGAATTTAATATTTACTTCTTACTTTTATCTACGTTATAATACATACAATGTAAAGAATTCAACAGGTCGCATTTTGGCCAGGCGTGGTGGCTCACGCCTGTAATCCTAACACTCTGTGAGGCCGAGGCGGGCAGATCACTTGAGCTCAGAAGTTCAAGACCAGCCTGAGCAAGAGCGAGATATTGTCTCTACTAAAAAAAAAAAAAAAAAAAAAAATAGAAATAAATTAGCTGGACAACTAAAATATATATATAAATTAGCTGGGCATGGTGGCACATGCCTGTAATCCCAACTACTCGGAAGGCTGAGGCAGTAGGATCGCTTGAGCCCAGGAGTTTGAGGTTGCTGTGAGCTAGGCTGACACCATGGCACTCTAGCCAGGGCAACAAAGTGAGACTCTGTATCAAAAAACAAAAACAAACAAACAAAAAAAGAGTTCAACAGATTTGTTTTGAAATTAGTGGTCTCCATTCCCAAAGAGAGAAGAAACCATCTTTAACTCTTGTAGGTGAATCTTGAAATCTAACTGCCTCTATATCTCAAATTAGCATGCTCATTTTGTATATTCTTGATTTTTCACTTCTAGGTAGCACCTAGCACTCTTTCAACTTCCTGACACATACACATATACCACCTTTCTATCTTTCCTTCCAATGTAGTCATAGCATGTTCTGATTAAATATTTGGGGTGCACATTATTATGAGTAGGTAAATGCTATTCACAGCTAAGCCATGTAGTATTCTATGATGACTTTGCCTTTTCCATACTTTTTAATGCTGTAGTTAATAACTGTCTTGCTTTCTCATTTATAAAATTTCTATGTACTTGTTACTAACTCAACTTTAAACTCTGTCAATTGTGTCAACCTCCTATCAATGTACTCTCAATCTCTTTAGTCATCAGATATTTAATCAATATTATCTTCTTAGAGGAAACTCCTGACTTCTGGTAGACACCTAGCATTCTGAGATGTCTTTGATGATCATCATCCTGGAAATTTCCTTTTTGCCTGATCTCCAGTTTCCTTTATCCCATATTTTCATTTTTTTTTTTTTTTTTTTTGCCACCACCCTTATATTGGTAAAACACAACCTCCAGCAGCTTCCTGAGAAAGAGTGCAAGGGAGAAATTTTCTGTGACTTTGCATGTATAAAATGTCTTTACTAACCATCTTTGATGTATAGTTCTGCTGGGTATAGAATTCTTGGTGAAAAGCCATTTTCTCTCCCAAATTTGAAGGAATTACTAGAATGTCTTCTACCTTCCAGAGTTATTGCTTAAGTTCAAAGACATTCTGACCCTGATATTTTCCACATGGCAATTACTTTCTCTCTCAAAGGTTTTCTTTGCCCCTAGTTTTTATAATTTCATAATTCTATGCCTTATTTTAGGTTTATTTACATCTATTTGGCCAAGTTCTTTAAATTTAGAAGTGCATATCCTTTAATTCTGGAAAAAAATCTTGAATAATTCAGATGATGATTTATGTCCCACTGTTTTTTTTTCTCTTTCTCTTTCTAGGACCCCTATGATTTGTCTGTATAACTTCCTGACTTGGTATTACAAATTTCTCATTGTATCTGTTTTCCATCTCTTCATCTTTTTGCCCTATTTTCTGAGAGATTATCTAAATTCTTATCTATCTACCTTTCTGTTTTTTCCTTTCTGCTAATCAAGTCTTTAATTTTCAGGAGCTCCTTTTTGTTCTCTGATTTTCTCTTTTTATATTATTCTGTTCTTATTTCATGGATATAATATTTTCTCTTATTTATCTATCTATAATATTTTCTCTTATTTACTGACATGTCACTTTTTCTGTTGGTTTCTTTTGGCCTATATCTTTCAGATTATAGAATTTCCTCAAATGCCTCGCAATTCTCATTATCTGTTCATATTTAAGAGCAGGTACCAAAATGCTGAGTGGAAGGCTAAGAATGTGAATGGGGTTTATTGACTGTAAGCTTTATTGTAGGATGACGTGAGTGGATTTCATTTGGAAACCTAGATGTCATTGTCTTCATTTTCTTTGGGCTGGTCAGACTTTTCATAGATTGATCTCCCAATTCCTGGGGCCACTGTTTCATACTCTCATGAGAAAAGGAGGATAGAAGTGAGGGAGGGTCTCAGCATTCAGTCTGCCTATGTTCAGTTAATTCTTCTATTTTCAGTATAGTATTCCCATCCTCAACTGTGTATGTCTTCTCTGTCCAGAGACTCTTTGTTTTACCCTCTAGAGAGAATAAAATCCTGCCAGTGTGGTGAGGGATAGATACATGATTGCAAGAAGTTGAGAAAGGAATCTGGGGATTTAGCTTTTCTTAACCAGAATTTCAAGCAATCCTTCTTGTGTCAACCACACCTTTTCATTTCATGGCAGTACCTGTTGCTGCTAATCTTGAGCATTTAGGGATTTTGCAAAACACAATGGGTTGCTGATTGACTTTCCTCATTGCTGGTTTAGAATTCAGCTTTCTTGAATTTGTAAAATTCTTTCTCACTTGTCCATCTGCCTTCTAGATTCCAAAATGTTATTGGTTTTATCTCCTCTCCTGTCTTCTCTATCCTAGTGGTTTATGCCTTAAAAAAATCCTGTTATTGTTATCAGGAGGGAGCAAAAGTAGATGCATAGGTTCAATGTCCTATCTCTACTCCACAAATTTGTATTTTCAAACAAATTTTTATAGCTTTTTTGCATAAGAAAAAGATATGTAAATATAACTGCAGATCTATCTGAATGTATGAGGAAAATGCCTGTCCTTTCAATGTGAACTTTGCAATATTAAAGACTATATAACACCATAATTCTAACATTCCCTTTAAATCAGTGAAACTAGATCTCTCTTTGAGAAAGAAAGAAACACTAATTTAGTTTGGATTATACTAGTATGCTATTATTGACACATCTAATGTAATGATTAACCCATGAATCAGCAAACATTACATAGAAGCAGGTATTTCAGGAAAAGTTCTCCTTTTGTCATGAAATTTGGCCTTTGTATGCTTAGGATTTAGGGAGAAAGTATTTCTTTCATTACTGGGAACATGCATTCACTTCTCAGCAAACCTTTGTTAGCAAATGGCTTTTGCTAAGACCCTAATGATGTCAGGAGGTGACTATCAGTTTTTTGAGAGGTCAGTGAGAATATCTGTATAATATACTGGGAAAAGAAGAGCAAAAGAGAGTTGTAGTTTGCCCATCCTAATTTTCAGCCAGAAATTCTGGAACCTAAACTAGGGGCTTCATAGAGCAGTTCTCTACATAAAATAAAGGGATGCATAATCTTTTATCATAAAGCCACCACAACCTGGAATTGCACACCTCTAAACCTTTCATACAAACTTGAAATAACTGTATAATATCATTAATATAAACTTAATCACTTCTTAGCTGTTCTAGCAGTCATTTCTGGAGACACAAAAAGTTTCTGTGATACAATTAAAGTGCACATCACAAGAATCAGGGAAGATAAATTTCACAATAATGCCTAATTAAAATTGCTAATAAGCTCCTGTGGTCTCCTAAGTTCTCAGGTTGTTCTGGTCTCCCTATCCACCTTTAAAAAAAATTCTGCTTTAGTTTTATTTTTAAATTTCGTTAAATTGAAGAGTAACTTCCGTAAGGTGCACAAATATAAAAAGAGGATGGCTCAGTGAATTTTTTACGTATGCACACATCTGTGTAACCACCACAGAGCAAGACAGAATATTTACAGCATTTCAGGTGCCCACATTCCCAGAGCATCGCTATTTGGCCGTGCTTCTCTTTTCCTAAAAATCGCGAATACACAGCAATGCTCACGGGCTCAGAGAGGTCATTTACTGCTCGACCTCGTGATTCCCTGTGACCGCTTCTGCTCGCTGAATCCCATTTCAGAGCGCGCATCGCGGGGCTGTCCACGCTTGTTATAGGGCCCCGGATCCCAGGAATCCTATCCCAAGCCCACAGACTCCCAGCAAGCCGTCCCACTGCTCCCCCGCACCCTCCGCGCGCCCCGGGGAGCCTACCTGGCTCACCGCCGGCCGCCGACCACTGCCTCCAGCGCGGGAGCCCCAGCCCCGCCCCTCGGCCCCGCCCCTGCACGCAGACCCCGCCCCCTCCCCTGCGCCCGGTGTGCGCGCAGCGGCGGAAATGGGCAGGGCGGGGCGAGCGCCGCGGCTAAAGCGAAGGCGGGGCCCCTGCTCCTCCCTGGGCTCGCCGGCTCCTCCCACCCCGGGTCACGCCGTGACAGGGGCGGAAGCGGCGGCGGCGGCGGCGGCCCAGCAGGGGCTGCGGCTCGCTGCGCTGATCCTGCCGTCCCGTGCGCGCGGCGCGCGGCTCCGGAGAGGCGCCCGCAGTCCCCGGCGGCGCGCGCCACCTCGCCGGCGCTCGGAGGTGGAGGGCCCGCGACTCCGGGGGCGGGCGTGGGGGCGGTGGCGGATTTCGGGTGACAGCGCTGCACAAAGCAGCTTGGCCGGGGTGCAAGCCCTGCTTCTCCCCCTGTGCAGCGTCCCTCGACCGGGTGGGAGGTGGGCGAGTGCCCCAGGGGCTGGTACCTCATGCCCCGGATTGGAAGAAGGTGTGGGGTGGGGATCCCTGCCTGAGGAAGGGGGAATTCCCGGGCTGGGGCGTTGGGGCGACAGGGTTCCCCGGTCGGTCGCGGTGTTGGGGGGTCTCCTAACCACCCTGCAACGTTTCCTTTACAGCGCTGCCTTTTCCCCGAGACTCCTCGCACCCCTTCAGCGCTGAGGTGAGCCCCGGGGCTGTTGCTTCTCTGACTTGAGGGAAGACGCGAAAAAGCTTTTCGGAAAGCGAGGCGGCTGCAGCTGGCTCCGTGAGCGTTGGGGCTCCCTCCCGGGGCTGTCAGAGCCCGGTCCTCGGGCGGGCGCCGGCCCGGGGAACCCCGCGGTCTGGGAGGAGGAACTCCCTCGCACGTCCTTCCAGCCGGTAGGGTGCGTGCGGCGAGGAGCCCGCACAGCCTCGCAGGTGTAGTAACTCTGGCTTCGCCGCCGCGCTTCGAGACTTGATTAGCATTGCCAGGTTGCTGAGGTAACTCCTCTGGGATTGGAGACCTGCAGGGGGTGGCCCGATTACCGTAGCTGTTAGTCAACAGCCCGGCAGCTGGCAGGTGAA